GGGGGGGGGGGGGGGTGTGGAGGGGAGGGACAGGATGGGCAGCTGGCTGGTATGGGGATCCAAACATTTGACCTTGAGGTTAGAACACTGCACGCTAACCAACTGAGCTATCAGGCCAGCACCCTTTACCCCATATAACTATCTTAACAGATGCTTTAAAAGCCTTTGGTAAAATCTGACACCCATTCTTGATTAAAAACAAAACAAAAATCTACAATGATAAAAGTTAAAATTAGCCAAAAATAAAGGGAGAACAGGGCTGGCTGAGGTGAGCTCAGTATGAGGTTCAAAGGTTCCGATCCCCATAGGCAAGCCACCAAACAACAAAAAAAGGGAGAATTAGGTATACTAGTTTTAACAAGAAGAGAAAATAGGCTGCGCACCGCGCCCCCCTCCCAACCATTCGCATCCAGCCCAGTGACAACCAAGCCACCACAGGAAACCCCCCAGGCTCCCAAGCCAGAGTGAGGGGAGCCGCAGGCCTCAGCCATGCCCCCTGCCCTCCACAACCAGGCCAGCCCCGCCCCACCACCTCCACCTCTATTTCCCTACCCTCCTCCCACCTGTCTCATCATTGCTCCACAACAACATCTTTGAATGTAAAAAAATAATAATAATAATAAGTAAATTTTAAAAAAATTAATAGGCAAAACTACCCTATTAAAGATTGGCTATTGACTAAATTGAAAAATTTAAAACACTCAATCTACAACCTGTAAGGTACAAACTCGAAAATCAAAGTTAGGAAATCATCTATGGACTATGAAGGTCTATACAAATGTAGGAAAAGTAAAGATAATTATGAAGTTAGTTATTCAGTACATTACGTTTCATAGCAAAAAAGTATTATAACTAAGGGTTGCTATCATACAATAAAAGGAAAGTTAAACACTGAAAACTAACAATGAATGACTGAAATTTCATATAAAAAACAAAATACCCAGAGGGGAAAAAAAAAGGAGAAATACAAAGATGAAAATGCAGAAATATGTTTAGATGCCTCAAATCAAAATTTTAGAATGCCACGCATTACGTAGGCAAAGAATGATTGTAAACCAATATAATGTAATTAATAAAGCATATTTAGCAAATATATAGAGAACTAAATGAAAAGGGCAAATTAATTCTTTACTTCATTTTTCTGTAAATTTATCTTAATTATGGTTGTTTCTTGCTCTGTTTATTTTTTTAATCTACATAGTATCTATGACATAAGAAAGCTTTCAAAGGTATAATCTGTAGCAAAAATTACTTATAAACAAGGATAGACACTAACTACAAAAATTATAGAAACACAAAATTTTAAATGCTCAATCACACAGAAACTTTAAAATATTTTTTTCAATGTTTCCTAAGTAGATGAGGAAATAAAAAATGCAAAATGTTAAAATGGGAGAACACAAATATAAATAAACAAAATAGAGAAAATCAGTAATTGCAAATAAAGTACAAATTAAAATGAGATAACATTATAATTGATCAATCAGCTAAAAATAAATTAGTGCTAAAATCTGATGTTTGTAGTATATTATGAAAAAATATTACTAGTGGCATTGAAACCAATAACAAAAATGTAATAATTGCTACATGCCTGCTTCTTAAGCCTGGCAATTCCACATTGGGGAATAATATTCCAAGGAAGTAACTCAAAAGACAAAATGTAATCCACCTTATCTAAGGTAGCACAAGGAAAAATCAGAAAGTTAGAAATGGTTATTTTTACATTAACATGAACACACCTAAAGAAAAAATGTGAAAGAATAGTCAGCCTGAAACAAAGGAGGGAAAATGAGTTATTAAATCAAGTCTTAGCCACATCTATCCAAGAACTATATAGAGAGAAGTATTCAAGGTTCGGCAGTCAGTATGTATGTATCTGTTGTGGAGATAGATCCATAGATTTCATAGCCTGACACCATTAAACATTTTGAATCATTCAAATAACTACAAGCTCAAATTCCATGATAAGCAACCCATATTTACATTATAATTTACTTTTTTGGTAGAATACCCTATAAAGAGTGTACTGATATGCTCAAACAAGTGTTCTGATTCATTGCTTCTTTTGGTATACTTAGTACTGGCATTGTATTTATACACAAATTTCTAGCATATAAATTTATCTTATCTCTAAGAAATCAACCCATTCTTGGTGCATACAAAAACAATATGGAGTCTGTAAAACCAAGGGCAAGATCTAAAAAGACACTGGAGACTTCATCAAGGAATATACCACCTAGCGAAGTCTATTGGCAGGCAATAGCTAGTCTTCCCTAACTATATAAAAATCTCATAATATACCTTTTTTTCAAAATTCAACACATATGAAATATTGGCAACTCATGTTTATCCAGGGAGACATTAACTGACTTATGGATAAGAGGTAAACAGAAAAAAGTTATAAAACTAGAATTACTACCAATTAACAACAAAAAAGTATATATTTCAGAAGGCTTCTACTGTTTAGAACTACTTAGTTAACCAAAAGATGTCACGTTGTGTTTACTGCAAAGTGGCAATCCCTGTTTTCACCTCCTACCAACATCTCCTCTAAGGAAAAGAAGAAAAGAAGGTCCCAATAGCCCCATAACTGAAATCCTGGGCAACTACAAACTTATCCTAATGCAAAATCATATTTTACGTGGGAATTGAGGAATTGGAGTTCTTTAATCTTTCTGATTCTAAATATTTGTTAAGGTAAAGAATTGGGGGGGAAGGAAGAGAACAAAGGAGAAATGGGAAACAATACAGACGAAAGCCCAGGACTTTGCTAGGAAAATTTCTGGATATGAAACAATAAAGCCTCATCCTAAAATGCTTAAATTCAGGGTTAAATTGATCTAGGAGCTCACCTCACAAAAGGCCAAGTTAGTACAAACGTACTTGGTTTGACACACAAAAAAGCATTACCTGTAACATTTTAATTGCTTCTCCTTTCAACTTACTTTATAGTATCTGCAAAGCTGACTCGACGAGAGTTTTTCTTATTTCTCAAAGCATTGGATTCCTAAGGGCAGAGAATACATGGTATGATTCTTAATGACACTACTGAGTTAGGTCCCTGGAGTACTATAGACAGAAACCAAGTCTTCTTCTGAATTAATTCTTCACATGTTGTAGTTTGTGTCAGAATTTCCTTCTTTTTTAAGGCTATATAATATTTCATTGTATATATATGCCACATTTTGTTTATCCATTCCTTGATGGACACTGAGTTGCTTCTACCTTTTGGCTACTGTGAATAATGCTGCTAGGAACATGGGTGTAAAAATAACTCTTTGAGAACTTGCTTTCAGTTCTTTTGGGTATAAACCCAGAAGTGGAATTTTTGGATCATATGGTATTTCTACTTTTAATTTTTTTGAGAAATTGCCATATTGTTATCCAAAGCAGCTGTACCATTTTACATTCCCATCTACAGTGCACAAGGGTTCCAATTCTTCATCCTCGCCATACTTATTATTTTTGGTTTTTGGAGAGCAATCCTAATGTGTGCAACGTGGTTTTGATTTGCATTTCCCTAATGATCAGTGATACTAAGCATCTTTTCATTATAATATACTATTTTTATTTTCCTTCCCCACCTTCCTCCTTAATAAGAGCAAATATTTGTACTCAAACTGATACCAAACACACATACAAAAAACACAGAAGACAGAGAAATAAACAAAATTCACAGAGAATCTTATTGTGAATACCTGAGCATAAACCTTATTATAATACAGAATAAAGAATGTATTTTATATCAAGCAGTCTATGTGGTTAAGGCCCTAGCAAACATTGCAGGTAGCCTTGAGCTTAATATAACAATGATAATACGGATACGGTAAATACTAGTACTAACACAGACTTATATATTTCTTTTTTTTTTTTTGTCTTTTTCATGACCGTTAAGGGAATCGCAACCCTTGGCTTGGTGTTGCCCGCACCACGCTCAGCCAGTGAGCGCACTGGCCATTCCTATATATGATCCGAACCCGCGGCAGGAGCGTCGCTGCGCTCCCAGCGCTGCACTCTCCCGAGTGCGCCCTGGGGCCGGCCCAGACTTATATATTTCTTATTTAAAAAAGAAAAACTGAAAGTTGTGTGGTATACTGGAAAGAGCACTGAGCTAGAAAAAATAGAAGACTACCATTCCAATTTAAGGTCTGTCACTAACTAGTTGTGTGGGCTCAGAAAAAACATTTAACCACTTTGGACCTCATATTTCTCATCTATAAAAAGATGGAACTAGATTCAAGATTACTGGTGAGATCCTTGCTATGGTTTGAATGTTTCTCTTCTCCAAAGTTCATGTTGGAAGTTAATCCCCAATATGGTATTTGAAAGGGGGTCCTTTAAGAGGTGACTGGACCATGAGGACTATGCCTTCATGAATGGATTAATTCATTCACAGATTAATGGGTTAATGGTTTAATGGGTTATCAGGAACTAGACTGGGGGCTTTATGAGGAGAGGAAGAAGGCATGTAGAAATGTATATCTTGCTCAGCCTCTTCTCATGTGATACCTTGCGTCTCTATGGGACTTTGCAGAGAGTCCCCACCAGAAAGAAGACCCTCATCCCCTGGACTTTGGACTTCCCAGTCTCCAAAACTGTAAGAAATAAATTCTTTCTTTATAAATTACCCAGTTGCAGGTGTTCTGTTATAAGCTATAGAAAACGAACTAGTACAGTTTTGTTGGTTTTAAAGCTCTATGAGAGTATGAATTTGTCATTTACTCATTCAACACTCAATTAAAAAAAAAAAAAAAAGCATACACACAAACGTGCACACACCAGATCCTGTGCTGGGTGATAGAAAAATAGTGGTAAAGGAAACAGATATAGTCCCTATCCTACTGAGGTTAATGGTGAGACAGACATTAAGACAAAAAGTCATACAAATATGAAATTTAAAGGGTAAAGCGTGGTATGAAGGAAAACTACATATGAGATGTAATTTAGTTTGACAATCAGGGAAGATTTCTTTGAGGAAGTACATTTAAGTTGAGACCTGAAGGATTAGTTAGAAGTTAGCCAAATGAAGCATTGAGTAAGGGAGAGTTGAGTCTAGGCAGAATGTGTGCAGAAGCCCTGAAGCTGGAAAAAGTTTTAAGTATTAGAGATACAGGGAGGTTAGAGAGGCCAAAGCAGTGAACACTCAGACTCATATAGTCTCTAATACCATATGCATTTCATCAATCAACAAAATGTACTGAAAGCCAACTATGTACCAGAAATAATAAATACAGAAAACACATGATAAACTTTCTGCCCTCAGGGAGTTCTCAGTTTAGAATGAACAGAATTGAACAATTATAACAGAAAGTGTTAAGGATGTTTCTGAGAGAAGTGAAATCAAAGCTAAGTCTTGAAGGACAAATAGGAATTAACCAAATAAAGAACAGGGCTACAGGTTTATAAGAAAGCAAGTATGATAAAAATTAAAAGTTAATTGTAGAATCTGGATGATGAATATATGAGCATTCACTGTAAAATTTTTTCTGCTTTTTGGTATGTTTGCAAAAAAATGTAATACAATGTTGGGAGAAAAAATAATGAAGGACTAGCCATCTAGAGGGAAGGAATAACATATATAAATACTTGCAGGCTCGACAACTCATGTCTTATTTTGGGAATAGTAAGCAATTCTGAATAGCGTGATACCTGTGTGAGAGTGACAAGAAAGAAGGCTGGAAAACTAAATATGGGTTAAAAAATCATAAATGCCAGCATTTTCAAGTATTGGGATTTTAACATGAAGGCCATGGGATGTCTACTTGTATACATTCAATTGGGAATCATTTATGATGTTCTCTCTTCTCATAACTAATAAAGTTCCTGACTATTAAAAACATCACTGAAGGGGCCGGCCTGGTGGCGCACTGCTACAGTGTGCCGCTTGAGAGCGCGGTAGCGCTCCCGCCGAGGGTTCGGATCCCACATACAGACCGGCCACTCACTGGCTGAGCGAGGTGCGGGCGCAACACCGAGGGTTGCGATCCCGTTGACGGTCCCGGTCCGGTATGGGCGCGACACTGAGGGTTGCGATCCGTTGCCGGTCACGAAAAAAGACAAAAAGGAAAAACAAAAACAAAAACAAAAACAACATCACTGAAAATAGTCATCTATAAAGCATTTGTACTATAGACTTACCTGAACTGTTTCATTCCCACCTCTGAGGTCCTGTAGAGGACTCCTTGGGGGTTTCAAAATCTAGAGGTAATAATTAGAATTATTTTTAAAACTTTGACAGATCTATTAATAATGTTTATTTCAAGTCATATCATGAGTAGAAAGCTAAAATTTCCATAAGAACCTCGGAAACTCCTCAAATTCATACCGCTCAGTGCTTACCATGTGGGCAATTTAAATATCTGGCATCTATTCCCTTCCCCCTGCCCACCTTCCCAATTATTTTGCCCAGTCTCATCCCATGTGCTTTGGGTAAAGCTCCACACCAACTCTAGGATACAACAATCTGATATTCTCTGGTCAACCATGATTGGTTCAGGAATGAGGACTTGACCCATATCAGAGTAACTGAGCCAACATGTTTCAATTTTGAGTCTTTTGTTTTTTTATCTTGAGGAAACAGACAACATTCTTCACATAGGACTTCAACCTGAAAGTAGGGAAACTACATGTAATGCAGTAATCATAGGGAGAGAGTCTGTCTGCTAACGGAGATTACCCAGAGGAAGCAGTCAGAGCAGAAAAAGAGAAAGGAAATCCTAGTACTGATGATATTGTTGGAACCCCTGGTCAGTAAGTTGTACCTAAAGCTATCCTAACTTTGGATTTTTCAGTTTCATAACCAAATACATTTGTGCTTAACTCAGTTTGGGTTGGATTTTTGTCTACTGTAAGAGCTCTGTACACCAGGTTAAATATATTTTTTAAATAGCTTTATCGAAGTATAATTTACATGGCATAAAATTTATAACATTACCATAAAGTTAATAAAATATTAATTTTAGTATATTTGCAGAATTATGTAACCAGGTAAAATATTTGAGTCTTTATCCAGAGAGCAATAGGAATCCAGTGGCGGTGGGATGGTCAAACCACAGTCAAAATCACTGTGATATATAGTTATCACTCAATTAAAGGTAACAATTATTAATTTAAGTAAGTTTTTCTTACTGAGGAATGCCGTCTTCTAACAGGTCTCTCTATATTGTCACTGAAAGAGGAAAAATAAAACTTATGTACACTTTGGTAAAGTCTGAATTTCCAAAAACCATCATCACAGCACCCCTTACATGCTTTTACACTAGCCATCACTTTCACTTAGTACTCTAGCCAGTAAAATTTATGTTACAAGACTTTAAATTCAATATTTAGGAATTTAGTGTTTTAAAATACATATTGTGTACTACGAGACCATCTCTTGAAAAAAAATCATTACAACATAATTTACCATATTTACACAGGCACAATTGTAAGATAAATGGGATATAAATGAAGAGATTCTAGCTCTGGTTTTAGTACTGTATGATTTTTTAGGCCATGTTTTGAGAATTCAAATGCCCATGAGGCCAAACAGATAATTTGTTAGATGTAAGAAAAATAAGTAGCGTTTAGACTATAAAGACCTGGGGAACTCCTGCCTGGTCTAAAGGCCACAGCCATCACTCTGCTCTGGTTGGTTGTTGCCAAGCAAGAATATGAGCTCAGAGTTGCCACAGTTGATTTTTCAAGAGAAGCTGAAAATCCTATTGTACAAAATCTTAAGATTTTTAAATTTTGGCAACGAATTCAAAAAATTAAAAAACATATATAGGCTGAAAAAAGTATATCTGTAGGCTGCAAACAGGCCACCAGTTTGTGATGCCAATTTTACACAAATCATTTTTTCTACCTGGGCTTCAATTTTTTAATTCTTAAGTTGAAGAGATGGGAAGTGGTGTCTAAAGTCCCTCTCGGTTTTGACTTTAGATGAGTTTATACAAAGATATGGCAAGCGAGGGCTATCACTTTGTAACATTTACTTCTTTTCCCTGGAACACAATAGGAAAAGATTTCAGAAGTTATGGATAGGTCTTACTAGTTGGAAAAGAATCTTTCTCTGACAGAGTACAACATTTTCAGCTGCACTGAATGAACTTACTTTTCTTCATTAGCCTCTGAAGACATCCCATCCATTTTTGAAGAAAACTTTTTTCTGTAACAAATACACCATATTAGGAAAGATGAGAAAGAAGGAAGATAAATTACAATCTATGAAGAGATTAAGAGCAGAATTGTGACTTTAGGGTTACTTTCAGAGTGAAGACCAAAAACAGGAAGGAAAAAACTACATTATGAGGCCATAAACCATGAAACATTTTAAGGAGTTTAAACTACTCTGTTAAATTAATACTTTTGAAAATTTCTCATATTCAAGGTAAAATCAGTGACTAATTCTGATCAGGATGATATGGACTTTACTGGTTCAAATAAAAATTTGGGGCCAGCCCCGTGGCGCACTCGGGAGAGTGTGGCGCTGGGAGCGCAGTGACGCTCCCGCCATGGGTTCGGATCCTATATAGGACTGGCCGGTGAGCTCACTGGCTGAGCGCGGTGCGGGCAACACCACACCAAGGGTTGTGATCCCCTTACCGGTCACGAAAAAGACAGACAAAACAAAACAAAAAAAACAAATAAAAATTTGGCCTAGCTTACAAGAGCTTATGGGTTATATAATAATTTAATTCCCAAACGGTAGTCAATCAGATATCTAAGTACAGTGGATTTGCATTACATGCATGTTTATATTAGGAAAATTCAACTATAAGTACTCAGCAAAAAAAAAAAAAAAAAAAAGATAAGAAAATAACATTTAAAATAGTGCAGCTAATTATGCTTAAAATTCCATTCAATGAGTATTTGCCCTGGAAAGATGAAGTAGCAGGCAGATGGTCTCAGTTCCTACCTACACATAACAGTATTAGATTTTCACTTTATACATTTAGAACCTCATCTTTGGGTAAGAAAAATGCCATTACAGATTTCAAAAAAGAGAATAATTAGAAATTCTGACTCAACTATATTAACATTTCCACCATAATACCAAATTAATACCATACACATAAACTGTTGGAATCAATGTTCTTACTTTTAGCAATAAGAAAACAGTTATCTCTAAAAGATAGCTTATGTTATGTGCTTTCATCATACATAAAAGCCAATTAGAGAACAATACTTCATAATGAACCTAAACTTCAAACTGAAATAAAAGTCTGCTTATTTTTTAGTGTCACTGAAATCAATTAGCTGTCAGTATAGATAAGATGATGGGCAACATCTGGGATTTTATGTCTAATCCTCTCCTTTTGTTTTCCATCACTTTCTCAGTATACTTTTCCATTCTTCTGGTCTCACTTACCTCCTGTTCACAAATAACACTCTTAAAATAATATTTTTAATTTTTTTTAAATTTTAGCTTTTATGTACACAGTATAAGGAGTCAATTTTATAGGACTGGTTAGATCGCTGTATTTTTAGATTAGTAGCTCCCTGCACTCCAATTTCCTCCTTCCCAAAGGCAACCATTTTTACTTTTAGCTGATTATTTTATTAATCTAGATAACTTATTGCTACTTTCTGATTTTTCTAGGTTTAGGCATTAAACTGTCTTCTCACCATGGAAGTGAAATTTAAGCTCCCTTTCCTACAAGCACCTCCATCTCACACACACGTAAATACAATATATGAAAGATTATATGCCAATTTTACTACCATAAATATAAAAATCCTAAATAAAATGTTAGCAAAAAGAATCTAGCAATTTGTAAAAATGATAATATATCGGGCCGGCCCGTGGCTCACTCGGGAGAGTGCGGTGCTGATAACACCAAGGCCCCGGGTTCGGATCCCACATAGGGATGGCCGGTTGGCTCACTGGCTGAGCGTGGTGCTGACAACACCAAGTCAAGGGTTAAGATCCCCTTACCGGTCATCTTTTTTAAAAAAAAAAAAATGATAATATATCATGGTCATGTTATATTTTGCCCCCACTATTGTGCAGAATTGTGCAGAAACGCACAATTGGTTTTGATGCCAGAGGAACGGTCTGGGGGAGTCTGATAGCAGGCCTCAACTCAACCCATCCTCTTACCAGGTTCTTGACTCTAACACAGGAAAAAATTCAAGAGCATAGTCACAGTAGAAGATGAAAACAGGTTTAATGTAACTGATAAGAAATACAGACCTCACAGCAAAAGCACGGCCTAGTACCAGACACTGAGGAGGGCCCACACCAAGTTTAATACAGAAGTAAGAAATACACACTTGAAGTTTAGTAGAGTGCAGGCTGGCTCAAGAGAGTGAGCAGCTACCTGTTAAAAGTAAACTTAACGCAAAAGTAAAGCATATCATACACACCTCAGCTGCCAAAGCACCTAACTGTCCCAGGAAAGTGAGCAACAACACTGCCTTTTGCCGGGATTTGGCTTTTATAGTTTTACTATCTAATGAATATTCAGCTAAGGGGGTGGGTCCCTGTTATGTAACATAGTCTCCCACATGCTCAGTTGGTCTCCTTTTGGATTATGTTCATTGGTCAAATTCTACCACATGTACCAGACAAACTCAAGCACATTCTGCCCTGAGCTCTCCCAAGCGGGGAGGTGGGGCCCCTGAGGGCCTAGGCCATTCCCTGATACCTCCCTGAGGGCCTAGGCCATTCCCTGATACCTGCAACCAGCCCAGCATTGACCACTGAGCTGCTGCAGGAAGCACCCAGGCTCCCAAGCTGGGCAGTGGGTGAGCAAGGGCTTCAGCCACATCCCTCTGACATCTGCACTCAGCTCAGCAATCACCAGCCACTGCTGGAAGCCTCCTGGTTTCTCATGCAGGAATGACGGGGGTGCCGCAGGCCTCAACCTTGCCCCTCCTCCTTCCTTCTTCTCCCACCCTATTACCTTCCTCTTCCTCTCCCCCTCCCCCGACTGCTCCACAACATCATAGAATATAAAAAAGTAATATTAATAAATAAATAAACTTAAAAAAAGAATATTCTGCATTCTTTAGCACCCTTAGTCATTCAAAGATAAACTCCCTTCCACTGAGCTCGCTTGGCTACCAAGGTTATATAACCCTTCTCTATTGAGCATGCCCAGCCACTGGATTTGCATAAGCCAGCCACATGAGGTCTCAATCTCCTCATTTTAGTGCTGAAAATAGGTCTAACTAGCAACAGTAACTTTCCTCTGGGGGAGGGGGGGGCTTAGACCTTGGGGAATGACTTGAAACTCAGAGGTGTGTCCTGAAACCCAAACCCAGGGAAACTGAGCACCTCCTATCTCGGCTTAATATTACAAAATCAACCTTGCAATTTACCATATTAACATATTAAAGGTAAAAATCATATGATCATATCAATGGATGAAAAAAAAAGTGATGAATTCAACGTTCTTTCCTTTTTTTTTTTTTTTAAACTTGGCAAACTAGGAATAGAAGATAAATTAACAGTCTCTATTTAGAAAACCAGAAGCATTCAGATCCCCATATCAGCCAGCTGCAAAAAACGAAAACAAAAACCAATAGCAACAATCAACTTAAAATTTAAATTTTGAGGGCCGAGCCCGTGGTGCACTCGGGAGAGTGCAGTGCTGGGAGCACAGCAGCGCTCCTGCCGCGGGTTTGGATCCTATATAGGGATGACCGCCGGTGCGCTCACTGGGTGCGCTCACTGGCTGAGCGGGGTGCGGCCGGTCTCAAAAAGGACCAAAAAAAAAAAAAATTTAAATTTTGAAAACTTTCTAAGGGGCCGGCCCGGTGGCGTGCTCAGTAGAGTGCGGCGCTTGGGAGCACGGCGGCGCTCCCACCGAGGGTTTGGATCCCATATAGAGACCAGTCCGCTCACTGGTTGAACGCGGTGCGGGCGCGACACCGAGGGTTGCGATCCCGTTACCGGTCACGAAAAAAGACAAAAAGAAGGGAAAAAAAAAAAACCAACTTTCTAAGATCAAACAAGTATGACAGCTATTTACAATTCTATTTGATCCATCATCAAGTCTTAATAGTTCTATTTCCAGTAATATATCTCCAATCCATTCATTTATACCTTCAGTGCCAACCCATAGTTCAAGCTATCATTATCTCTCACATAGAATACTGCTATATCCACCTCACTGGTATCCCTGCTTTCACTCTTATCTCAGTACAATCCTTTCTTCACATAGCAGCCTGTTATCTTCTTAAAACATATATCACATTAAAGACATTTCCTATTTAAAATCTTTCTACGGTTTCTCATTTTACTGAGAATAAACTCTTCACCAGGACCTACAGAGCTCTACAAGATCTGGTTCCTGCTTGCCTCTCGGACTTCATCTCACTACTGTCTTCCTCACTGACTATGTATGCTAGCTATACTAGCTTTTCTATTTCTGTGCACACAGAGCTTTTTCCTTAATCAATGAATTTATATTGGCTATTCTCTCTTGGCAAGAAGAATAAGAAAATCACTCTTTGTAGCACTGTGTATGTCTTCTTTGTAGCATTATCACAACTGTAATTTTTAAATTTGCTATGTAAATTAATTTATTCCTTTTATCTCCCTAAACTACCTTTGCCGCAATAGTAAATTCTATGAGAATAGGGCTGCTGTCTCTTGTGTTTACTGTTATAGACTAGCAGTGCTTTGTAAATAGTAGGGGCTCAATAAATATTTGCTGGATCCAATTTCACACCAACATTTATTCTGATTTTTTTGTCATCCAGAGTGTACCTTGTTTTTTACCCGGCTTTGGAATAATTTCACACATTGTGAGCTATTATTTTGGGAAAAAGAACTATTTGGTTATATAGGAATAGTATAAGATATAGTATCAATTGATTTTCTAGGCTTCATCATATGAGCACACGGTATATTTACAGTAGGAATAGATGTGGACACCCGAGCATACTTTACATCTGCCACTATAATTACTGCTATTCCTACAGGGGTTAAAGTATTTAGTTGACTAGCAACAAACACTACATGGAGGTAACATTAAATGATCTCTAGCTATATTATGAGCTTTATGTTTTATTTATTTATTTTTTCAGTTGAAGATTTCAATTGGCTTTACTGAGATTCTAGAATTGAGCAACATGTTATTCCATAAAATAGAATAAGTGTTCCCTGCTTTATCTTTTTAATTATAGATGGAGGCCTAATAGGAACTATAT